AAAAAAAAAAAAAAAAAAAAAAAAAAAGTAAGTTGTTGGGGGAATTCCCTGGTGGTCCAGTAGTTAGGATTCCTCGATTTCACTGCTGAGGGCCCAGGTTCGGTCTCTGGTCGGGGAACTAAGATCCTGCAAGCCGAGTGGCATGGCCGAAAAAAAAGTAAGTTGTTGGAACTTTTTAAAGGTATCATGTTGTTGATTTCTAATTTAATTCCATTGTGGTCAGAGACTAGACGTATAAGATTTCGATCTTTTGATATCTGTTCAGATGACTTTCGGGGCTCGGCATATGGTCTCTTTTAAGTGATCTCATGGACTTGGTGCCTCGAGGTCACACTCGGCTGAAGCATTGGCTTATAACTGTTTCTGAAAGCATATAGTTAGCGATTCTAAACCTTTCCAAAAGTTACTTGGTAGAAGTAGATTCAACCATATAAACTTGTCATTTTTGTAGCTTAAAAAGGCCCAGATATTGGCAATTTCGTGTGATTCAACCTAATAGAGTATTTCTTCCCAGTAGCCTGTAGGCACCTCGTCTGTTCCATGGTCAGGTTTGGTTAGGTCTCCAAAGAGGCTTTCCAGTCAGTCTTTCTAAGATGGGAGAAGCACATATCAGAAAAACCTGGCAGGAAGTTTCTTGCCAGTCATTGAAAGGACAAATTTCATCAAGAGAAGGTGTGTCTTATGTACTGGTTACTGTACTGGTGCAGCCAGGACTTCAGTTGCAGTGAGTGTGGGGACTCGGGACTGGAGCCCTTGAGGATGCAAATATAGGAGGACCTAGTTGCAGCCTATCGGGTTCTACGCCCAGCCTGAGGGGAGGAGTCGCATAGCAACGTGGAGCCTAGAGGGTGAGGGCATCCAGAACTTATAGTCCTCTGGAGCTGGGACTTCCCTCAGCATCAGTTTTTGTGTTTCCACGGGCTTTTCCCTCCATTGACATTTGGGCAAGTAGGGAATTGCACTCAATTTCATTCTTCCTGTGCTCCGTAGAATTTTATTAATGCCCAGTAAAAATGAAACACTTGAGATGCTGTCTTTGAAGTCATATATGAGGAAACCTTGAGTCAAGGAAGGTGATGACTCTGTGGTATTGACTTGAGATCCTACCATGAGACTCCACTCCCCAACCCGTGAGAGGTCCCTGCATAGACGCAGTCTCTGCCTCTACTCGTGCAGGTGGCATTGGAGGCCAGCTTAGGCCATTTTCATGAAGGGCTGGAGATGCCATTGGCTCTTGCTGGAGCCTATCTCCTCAGGGAAAAAGACTACGAATGGAAGCTAGGAACTAATTCAAGCCTTTTATCAAGTTGCTGCTATCCCTGTGGTTTTTGATCAAGCTCTTTCTTTTTTTTTTTTTTTGTGGTACGCGGGCCTCTCACTGTCGTGGCCTCTCCCGTTGCGGAGCACAGGCTCCGGACGCGCAGGCTTAGTGGCCATGGCTCACGGGCCGAGCCGCTCCGTGGCACGTGGGCTCTTCCCGGACCGGGGCACGAACCCGTGTCCCCTGCATCGGCAGG